CATGGGGGGGGTAGGTGGGATGAGGGACAGGTTTCTACCTGAGTCCTCAGAAATCTTTGCGGCGACTCAAGCTCTTCAGGAAAAGGAATCCATTCCCCTGTGCCTCAAGAAGGTTGGTACAACCAAGGAGTAGAAGTTAGGGGCGAGGGATGGGAAAGGAGGGGTTTGCTCACTGGCATGAACTTCCTCAGGACGGGAGACCTTGAGAGCTGTGCAGCCCCGCCTGGGAGATGGAACATTCGGGCAAGTGTGGTTGCTGCCCCTGTGCATTGAAGAAACTTCGAGAAGCTCAGGGAGAGACTTCATTCCCTGGAAATGCCAATCCTCTCCAGTGGCTCCTTGGAGTTTATACAGATGAAACCCGGTGTGCTGTTATTTTTTTCATGCATAGGTTCGGTTCCTCTCCCTTCTTCCCTCCCTCCCTTCTTTCTCTCAGATAATATATCAGAAACCAAGAGTATCCAAATATCTTTAAATATGAATCCAGAGGCACCATCTCAGAGGCTCTCATTGATTGGTCAAATCTGAACAAGGCCTGGAAATCTGCATTTTCAAGAAGCCTCCTCACCCTCCAATCCCCTATATGACTAGGGTATTGAGTCCAGTTTATAAACTACTAAAATCAACTCACAGGTACACCGTAGATCTTAGGCAATGCACTGCAGGTCCTACATGCATGCATATCTCCACAGGAGATGTGACTATAAAGTAAAAAGGAGGGAAGCAGTCTGGATTCACACTTCACAGTCACCCCTACACAAAGGCTTTGTCTCTAGAGGTGGTGCCAACCTCACATGAGGGGGAGATTTAGAAGTATTTAAGAAATTCCTTTTCAAAGTTTAGAATTCACTAAAGAAAGCTATTACTCTGCTGGCCTGGGTGTCATTCCCAGTTTTCTGTCACTCTCTATGTCTCTTTCCCACTTTCTCTTTTTAGCCTCCTTCCTACTTAAACATTTATTACAGTCTGGGAAAACCAGGTTGAAAGCACAAGGACACCCAGAAGAAGAAAAGCTATGAATACTCTGCTTGATTAAAATATAGTCAGCACCCCAGGTGAGGTAACAGCCAAAGTGCATTAGTCTTATCAAAAAGATTTCTGTCCCCCCTCCCCCTGTTATTTTTCTGTCTTCTCTAGCCAGGCAGATGTGAAAAAATGCCTCCCTCTAATTTAGTTCCTGGGAATTTGGCTCTGGGGGCAGGAATAGGGCTGCTGAAGGCTCCTTTCTCTGTGCAAATTTCTCACTTGAGATAGTCAGTTTCAGACACCTCAATGAACACATCCTTTGCAGATGCTTCTAGATTCTGCTTGATTCCCCAGAAATCCCTCTGTTGTATGTGTGTGTGTTGCTCATTCTGGACCTCAGAACAGCAGTGTCTCTCCTTCCCTGGCACCTTTCCCAGTGATCAGTTCCTTTACTGCGTGTTCTCTATCTCTGCACCATGTACCCCATCACACTCAACTTGGAGTCCTGCAGACTGTTTACTGGATAGTAAATTGTAGGCTCATGGAGTTAATTAGAGGGAGGCATAGGTCTTGTGCCAGAACTATCTGGGACTCACTGATAAGAGGGGTGATCTTTGCTTTCTGACCCCTGTACCTTGAAGGTCCCCTCTGAACTGGGGGAAGGGGTTGGCTCTGGGAATCTTTGGGGCCTGAGGCATCAGGTTAAGCTTGGAGCTTTGGAAAGTTTTTTTGTTTTTTCCAAGAGAAAAACATACAAAATTTTAAATTTATTTTTAAACGCAGGCCAGTTTCAATTATACATTTAATTTCCCCTCACAAGTCTGCCACCCTTCCAGTTTCTACCATTATACCTCTCTTGAGCACCTACTGTATGCCAGGAAGTCTGGTAGATGCTATGGGGATCCCCCTGGATGAGAATAATCTCTTCAGGCAGTGTCTTGGAGAAGATGACATTAATTATGGTACCAGGAAGAAAGTCCTCAACACACAGAGGTGCAGAACAAGTGCTATGAGAGCTGGGCAGGAGATAGTGTTTGAAGGAGATAGTTGCCATGCATTTGCAGGCCTGGAACACACGCTTTTACCCAGTTTAGGGATCAAGAAGTGGTTCCACATTCCTGTTGTGCCAAAAGCACAAAGCTTAACTCTTAACTATCTCCCTCCATTCAACATAAGCATGTGTACCTTTCCATCACTGACCCTTCCTAAACCAAAGGGCCAAAGGCGGCCAGTAGAAAGGGGACCTGGATTTCTGGCAGAGAATTTCCCCCCAAGGGGTCTTTAGCAAATTTGGCTAAATTCCTCTGAGAGCAATGAAACAGAAGTTCACCATGTGCTTATTAGAGGTTACAACCTGCTAAAAAATGATGGGGCACACTACCCACATCTAGCCATCACTTTTGCCAGCCACAAGCATATATGCTAAAGGTAGAAGACCAAGTTCTTCTCTTTTCTTCCCTCTTTCTTCTCCTTCTCTTATTCTTCCCCTCCCTCTTATTATCCCTTAATCCCCCCAACCCGTTACCACAGCTTCCAAGGGGAGCCTTTCT